GACTCCGCCCCTCGCCCGGCCCAGAGGAGTCCATCCGGAAGGAGAAGGCCGGGCGGGGCTGCGGGACGACCTGGCGGGGCGTGGCTGGAAGGCGGGCCGGGAGAATCGCGGAGACCAAGCCCACCAGAGGCTGCGGGGTGGGGGTGGGGTTCCAGTGGGGATTTCCCGGGTGTGTCATTTCCTTCCCTTGTTGATCGTGGTGACGTAGTTTCTGATCACTGATTGTAAGGGTTATTGTCACTCTTGGTTAGAAGTCTCACCTTACACGGGGGACACCACCCAACTGTATAAAACCATTTTAGAAGTAGAAAGCAGGCTGGTGGGGCGGGGAGGAGGGACAACCTGCATGGGCTTCATTGTCAGGCATATTACATGGACAATTACAGAAATAAACAACTCATGCTTTAACTTGTGCACCTGTTCTGGCAGCATGATGATATCTCTTGCTGATCCTCCTTCTGACCTATTGTCAGAAGGTCAACAAAAGCCTAAGTCTAGTCACAATGCAGATGTCACTCCCCTTACTTCATCTCATCGGGTAGGCATTTTATCATATCACATTATCACAAGAAGGGTGATGATACAGAACAATAAGATACTTTGAGAGAGAGACCAGATTCACATAACTTTTATTACCCTATATTGTTGTAATTGTTCTGTTTTATCATTAGTTATTGTTCTTAGTCTCTTGCTGAGCCTAATTTATAAATTAAACCTTATTATAGGTATGTACGTATAGGAAAAAACAGCATATATAGGATTTGGTACTATCTTGGGTTTCAGGATCCACCGGGGGTCTTGGAAGGTATCCCTGGCAAATAAGAGGGGATGGCTGTAATATGAATCAGACACAATCTATGACCCGTGAACCTATGTGGCTCCACATGATCACTATTCGTTTACGTGTTTTCAGAGGCTGTAGTCAAGCTGCTGGTCTATAGTCTTGAAACTTCATTTTTTTCTCCTTTTTGAAACCTGAGTGCACTGCCTGTGTGTAGTTTCTTTGAGCCCAGTGTATTTATTTTGTTATCCTATCCATGATAAATTCTCGAGAGATGCTTTGTTCAATGAATTCATTCAATAAATATTGGTTGAGCACTTACTCATAAGAGCTGAAGCTGAAAGGGGAAACAAAGCAGGGAGTCAGTCCTACCAAAGCTCACATTCTTGAGGGGCCAGGAGGGTGGGCGGAAGGAGATGACAGCAGGTAGATAAGCTTGAAGGAGGAGAGGAGTTTTAACAGATGGAGAGGTAACAGGATAGCCCAGCTTCTGTGTCCAGGGAATGATGAGACATTTTATATGGCAACTTGACTGGGCCAAGGGATGCCCAGATAGCTGTCTGTAAGGGTGTTTCCAGAAAAGATTAGCATTTGAGTTGGTGGACCGAGTACAGTCGATGGCCCTCCTCAGTGTGGACCGGCACCACGCGATCCACCACGCGATCCACTGAGGGCCTGAGTAGGTCAAGAAGGTGGAGGAAGGTTGAATTTGCTCGCTGCCTGACTGATGGGGCTGGAACACTGACTTGTCCTGATCTTGGCCTTCCTAGTTCTCTGGACTTCAGACTCAGACTGGAGTCTATACCATGTGTTCCCCAGCTCTCCAGCCTTCAAATGATACCACCAGCTTTCCTGGGTCTCCAGCTTGCAGAGAGCAGATCGTGGAAGTTCTCAGTCTCCATAATTGTGTGTCTCTTTTTATAGAAATCTGTCTCGCTGTCTCTCTGTCTGTCTCTGTCTGTCTCTTTGTCTCTCTCTGTGTTTCTCTGTCTCTCTGTCTCTGTCTGTCTTTCTTGGTCTGTCTCTCTGTCTCTGCCTCTCTGTCTCTGTCTGTATCTCTTGGGCTGTCTCTCTCTTTCTCTCTCTCTGTATCTGTCTCTCTGTCTGTCTCTCTCTTTCTCTCTCTCTCTCTATACTTTCTCTAAAGAGCCCTGACTAATACACCTGGAGCGACCAGAGTTTGATGGCTGCCTGGGAGAGGGCAAGGTGGGAGTAGGGGTAAAAGATTTTTAATAGAGAAGAGAGACAGTGGTAAAAATCTTACATCCTTTTCAACATGCCTCTTTATTGTCTTTTATTCAAGGTAAATGAACCAGTTCCCATAATAATATGCATTCCAGAGCATTGGCAAATTGAGAATCGAGACTGTCTTGTACGGTAGGATCTATTTTCCAAAGTTTCAGTCTTTTGGTATGACACTCAGAACCTTCTGGTGTCTAGAACTACACACAGAACTCCAATAATAGCATTAATCTGTGCTGACAATGATCAGAGAACAGCCTTTAGTCCTTTCGTTGCAAATTCTATTTTTTTTTCTGATCAGAACAAGGCAAGCTTTTCAATATGGGATCTTATTCTGTGTCACTGACTCATGTTCAACTTTTGACCCAGGGATTATTTTCCGCCCTGCTTCCAAACAGCTTTCTGTGCTGCCGTGTATTTCCTGTCTTCAGCTACCATCCCTCCTGAGCTTTGTTCTCTTTGTGGCCAACCGCTTTCCCCGAGGTCCTTCATAAAGCTCTGAGTCGAATTGAAAGATGTCCTTATACTAAAGTAATGTGATACTGCATCCCTTGCCCTGCTCACGTTGCTAACCGAGCCCCCTTGTTTCATCCAGCTTTGCTTTTACGGTTGTTGCCTCCTTCTGAAGCATTGTGACAGAACTGGATGGTCCGACTTCTCATTGCTGGTTTCCAGGGTGCGCTCGGACCATGGACAGAACCCTTAAGCATCAGCGCCTCTTTGTGTTTGTGCATTTGTTGCTAATTTCAAATCAGCTTCTGTTTCAGAAGCGTGCGTGTCTTGACTGCATTTTGAGATAGCATCTTTAGCCTACCTGAATTGACAGCATCTGTTCCTTCCCAGCATCCAAAGCAACATGTGCCCCAGTTTCAGAGAGCAGGCGAAACACATGCCTGCCAGTCACGCTGAACCCTGTCCTCTTGAAAGAACTGTTCTCGCCTGCCCTTTTGTTTCATTCATTGTGGAGAAGTGTGGGTCCAACAATGTCATTAACGGGGTCCTTTGTGTTAATAAACACAATAGTTTGGGCTAACCAGTAGTTTGGGCTAATCATGCAGCCCTCTCATCTCTGAATTTGGCTGGTGGTGGCAGGTTGGGAGATTTCAGACTCTCTTCAGCAGCACAGAGCAGAATCATCAGGCTGGATGCGAGGCTGTCTTCATGGGGCTGCAGCCTGTATGGTTGCCCAGGGCTCTGTGCTTACAAAGACCCCATCCTTGCCTAAATGTTCTGCTGTGAAATTCTTCAGTGAGGTTCCATGCCTGGGAAGAATAAGAGGGCTTCTGGTGGTAACACACCATCACCATCTTGAGTAGATGTGGCCACGAAAGAAAAATGCACAACGTACAAGTTTTGAGTTATGTTTTATTCAGGGAACTTACTGAGAACTATAGCTCGGGAGACGGCCTCTCTGCGAGCTCTGAGGAATTGTTCTGAAGAGGTAAGGGATGAGCCAAGATATATAGGAGTTTTTGTTTAAAAAAACAAACAAACCATATAGTCGAACATCAAAAGATTGTTGTTAATCACAAAAAATGGTCATCTCAAGTTAGTGATTTTAGTGCTTTTCTGTGTGTGGGAAGATGAAAGAGTCTGGGCTCATTGAAACTATTCCTTAGATTTGCAGGTGCCTGGGAAAGGGCGCAGCTAGAGGGTAGGGTTACTTACCTGGAATGCCATCAGACAGTCACAGTTTTGCTAAGAGCTGGTCCAGGACAAGACAGCCCTATATTGTGTCCAATCTGCAGGGAAATTCCCTTTCTCTACAGTCTCTTAGTGGCTGTCAGAGTAGTCAGTCACGAGACAGGGCCACGGAGAACAGGACAAGGGCCAGGTGAGCCTGGACCAGGCAGAGGAAGAAGGGAAAGTCTAAAGCAGGCTGTGCTTCTGTGTGATGCTCTCTAACAGGTAGGTGGGGGAAGGACTCGGGAAGGGAGAACAGGAGAAGACAAACTTTTCCTACTCCGCAGTTGAACTGGCATGGTTCTGCCACACCAAAAAGGCTCCTTCAGAAATGAGCAAAGCCTCAGAACCAGCTGCTGCAGGACTGGATGCAGCTGAGGAGGGGTGGCTGGGTTTGCGGGTGTTAAAGCCCGGGTGTTCTCTGGTACGTCGCACGTCCTGCCAGATGAGGTGTGTCCCTATGGAAAACAGGCCCTTCATCCCACGCTTCTGAGGATGAGGTGAGTCCTCCCCCAGGTCTGTCTCTAAGCCCTACCTATTCCTTGAGATTGGTCTTTCTTTGATTTTTCAATCCACCCAGCTATTTTAATGGGCAAAACCTCTATACCTTTAATTTCCTTGTATGAAATCCAACGTAATTAATTGTTGGTCTCACAGGTTGCAATAAAGATGAAATGAGATCGCTTGGAAAGTGTTCCTAACTCAGCTTCTGGATGTGAGCTCGCTTACCCTTCTGACATTATCTTTCATTCATTCATTTATTCATTCATCCATAAATATTTATTCAGTGCCTACTCTGTCAGGTACTGTTCTGAATTTCTTTGAATAATTATTGCCTTGAAAAAAATCTAAAGCACTAGATCACTTATAGATTATGTGTCAGTATTTATTTATTTTTAATTGAAGTATAATCCATTCACAATGTGTTCATTTCTGGTATACAGCATAGTGACTCAGTTAACATATATAAATATATACACACATATATGTGTATATATATATTCCTTTTCATATTCTTTTTCATTTTAGGCTAGTACAAGGTACTGAATATAGTTCCCTGTTATGTGTAAATTAATCATACAGCCAACTAATAATACAATGATTAATCAGATTAATTTGTATGATTAATAATAATACAATCAATTCATAATATGATTATTGCGCTATGGTTTTGTAAGATGGTAGAATTTGAGGACACTAAGTGAAAGATATATAAGACCCTTTTTTTTAACACAATTTTGTATGTAATTATTTCAGAATGAATAGTTTAAAAATTCCAAGAAATATTGGGTGTCTCTGTTAAGTAGCAATCCATATGCATTTATCTCTTTGTCATTAGGTGATGCTGGATGAGGGTGTTGGAAATTATCCTGGATTTCAGTGAATCGGGAGAAATTCGGGGAGGCAGGCATTGTGGTCAAAGAGCACTCAACTCTGCAATTCCAAAACTTGAGCTAATTCTCCTCTTCTTTGACCTGCTCTCCTTTCAGGAATTCTCGAAACGAGAAACTGGTGTCTCCTCTCTAATTAGTCATCTTCAATTAGTCATTGCATCTTTGCTTGTCTGTCTCCAAAATCTCTCTGAAACTGTTCTGTCTCTTTTCCCATGACTCCTGTGTTGCTCTGGGACTTATTCCCAATCAGCTGGACCTATAGACCTGCCTCAGCTTCCTTCCTCAGCCTCGCGTGCTTCTGTTCCAACCGTCACACCTCTACCAGAATGATCTATCCGTTTATTTTTGGGGGGATGGGGGGAAATTGAACCCAGGACCTCATGCATGCGAAGCATGTGCTCTACCACTGAACTGTACCCACCCACCCAGAATGATCTCTCCAAAATGAAAATTTAACTGTGCCCTACTCCTGTTTAAAGGGCCTATCTGCCTACATGATACATTTCAAGGTTCCTAGGTGAGTATTATGGGTTGCATTGCACCCCCTCCCCCCAAAAAAGGTATGTTGGATTCCTACCCCCCACCAGTATCTCAGAAGGTGACATGGAGATCAGGTTCTCAGAGAGGTGATCAAGTTAAAATGAGATCATGACGGTGGGCCCTGATCCAATATGGCTGGTGTTCTTATAAGAGGGGAGACTGGATACAGAGACAGACAGGTCCTCAGGGCGAATGCCATGTGAAGACTGGAGTTATGCCACGAGCCCAGGAACCACGTGAAGCTAGGAGAGGGGCCTGGGAAAAATCCTTTCCTAGCATCTTCAGAGGGAGCGCAGTCCTACTGACACCTTGATCTCAGACTTCTAGCTTCCAGAACGGGGAGCAATCATTTTCTGCTGTTTGAGCTGCCCAGTTTGGGGTGCTCTGCGCTGGCAGCCCAAGCAAACTAACACGATGAGAGTCCCATCTTCCAGGGCTTTTACTTCATTTATTCCTGCCACACATATGTGTCAAGAGCTGATCGTATGCAGGTACTGTGCTGGTTCTTGGGATAGGGCTGGAAATAAGACAGGTGGTCCTTGCCTCGTGGAACTTATGCTCTGGTGAGGGCTATGACAAGTGCCCAGGCCCTCGGAATGAGAGGTAAGAGGTCTCTGATTCATATGGTCCTGAGCACACAAAAGCAGGACCTCAAATCAGTACTTGGAAGGCTAGAGAGAGGTTCTCAGAAGAAGCGACATCGAATCTTGTTGTGATAAGGACTCCCCCTTGCCTACAAAATGTTTTAGATGAACTATGAAGAAAGTGGGAAGAAGAGAGGAAACTAAGGTGAATTCTGCAAATCATCCTGGCCGCCCTCTGAGATTATACTCTTGGGCATGAGTTTTCCCATGTGGTGTGAGGAAGCCCTCTTGGTACTTTTGTCCACACTGTGGGTACAGGTACCAGAACGTATCTACCAAGACAGAACTGCGCTATGTACTACCTTCTGCTTTCCCTCTACCAGCCAGCTTTCCATCATGCTCCCTTTGGAGGCAGGCTTTGTCATTTCTTTTCCCCTTCAAAGTTGACCTTGCTCATTTTAACCAGATATCAACTATTTTAATAACATGGCAAAGAGAATGAGAAGACAAGCTCCAGACTGGGAGAAAAGATTTGCAAAAGACATCTGATAAAGGAATGTTATCCAAAATATACTAAGAACCCTTAAAACTCAATCATAGGAAAAGGAACAACCTGATTTAGAAATGAGCAAAAGACCTGAATAGTCACCAAAGAAGATAGACAGATGGCAAGGAAGCATATTAAAAGCAAGCATATCACAGATCATCAGGGGCATACAAATTAAAGCAACCATGAGCTATACACCTATTATAGTGGCCAAAATTCAGAACACTGACAACACCAAATGCTGAAGAGGATGTGGAGCAACAGGAACTCTCATTCATTGCCAGCGGGAATGCAAAACGGTACAGCCACTTTGGAAGACAGTTTGGCAGTTTCTTATAAAACTAAACAACTCTTACCATCTGATCCAGCAATCAGACTTCTTGGTATTTACCCAAGTGAATTCAGAACTTATGTCTACCCCTGCCTATGGGTATTTCTAGCAGCTTTATTCAGAAATGCCAAAATTTGGAAGCAACGAAAGATGTCCTTCAGTAGGTGAATGTGTAATAAACTGTGCTACATCCAGACAATGCAGTATTAGCACTAAAAAGAAATAAGCTATTAAGTCATGAAAAGACACAGAGGGGCCTTAAATGTATATTACTCAGTGAAAGAAGTCAATCTGTAAATGCTATATACTGTATGATTCCAAATATATGGCATTATGAAAAGGCAAAATTATGATGACAATAAAAAGATCTGCGGTTTCCAGGGATGAGGGGTCAGGGAGGGATGACAGGCGAAGCACAGAAGAGTTTTAGGGCAGAGAAGCTATTCTGTATGATACTACAATGGTGGACCTCTGTTGTTACACATTTGTCAAAAACCCATAGGTTGTGCAACACCAAGAGGGAGCCCTAATGTAAACTGTGGACTGTGGGTGATGGTGACATAGCAGTGTAGACCCATCCATTTTAACAGATGCACCCTGTGGTGCAAGGAAGTTGGACCTGTGTGGGGACAGAGGGCATATGGGAACTCACTATTTTCCACTCAATTTTGCTATGAACCTAAAACTGCTCTAAACAATAAAGTTTATGGCTTAAAAACACAACAAAATGAAACTCACAGGTAAATTTGAGTTGTGTGTGGGAACTGTCATCTCTCCAGGTTTTGTGCCTCTTTCTCCCGCTGAACATCCCCATGGATAGCATTCCCAACCGTTTCTTCTATTTCACCTCTGGCTCCTGTTTCCTTACTTTCCTTAGTTCCTTTCACTCAGTCAGAGTCCAAGGAATGTCAATTTCCTAGAATGATGTTTCTGCTAACATCCAACTTCCAGTGAAAATACTCTCTTACTTTTCTGATGCCCCATAAACTTTAACTCCCTCTCCAAATCTCTCAAAGCCTTCCCCAGGTCTCACTGTCACTGGTTTAATTCTATTTAATTGGGTCTGGGCTTTATATATTGCCATCTGGCTTCAATATGTATGCTTTCAGTATCTCTTAATATGTTATCTCCTAGACCCAGAGTATTTATAAAGGTGTCTCAAATGGAATTTCATTAAAAACAGATGGATCTTCTTTGAACCACTTCCTTATCAATGAACAATACCAGCTGTCTCACTAATGCAATCCCAGAGAAGAGAGACACCGTCTAATGTAACGCCTTCCTTCTGTAGATGAAGAAACTGGGGGCCAGAGATGTTTATGTGAGTTTCCAAAGGTCACACAGCTAGACAGTGACAACACTGTGCTTTGAGTCAGAAGACCTGAGTTCTAGTCCCAGTTAAGTTTCCATCAGTTCGGGATGCTCCCAACAGGTGACGTGTGTTTGCAGGGACCCCCTCTGAACTTCTCCCCTCCTGGGGTGCCCCAGCCACCACTGGGGCAGCAGTGCTTATGTGGAGGAAAATTCATTCATTTCCTGTTAACGTTTCCCCCCTTCTCCTTCCTCTTTCACCTCTTCCATCTTCTGCCAGAGAGGTAAAATGAAAAAATATTTTTCATGATCTCACACCTTTTTCTTAAAAAATTAAAAAGGAATAAAAAGATCATAGCATGAGACAAATGAACTTATTTGTACAACAGAAATAGTCTCACAGACATAGAAAACAAATGTATGGTTACCAAAGGGGAAAGCGGGGGAGGGGATAAATTAGGAGTTTGGGATTAACAGATACACACTACTATACATAAAAGAGATAAACAACAAGGACCTACTGTCTACCATAGGGAAGTATATTTAGGATCTTGTAATAGACTATAATGGAAAAGAATCTGAAAAAGAATATATATATATATATATATAACTGAATCATTTTGCTGAACATCTGAAACATTATAAATCAACTCTACCTCAATTAAAAATAATCATTGCAAAGACTTCAGAGGTCACTGAATCTCACCCTGTCATTACAGATGAGAAATCCCAAGGCCCAGAGAATTGAATTAAGTTGACTTAACACGGAGAAAGTGGTAAATCCAAGGTTAGAAGTCCACATTGCAGACTTCTACTGGAGTGGCCCCCACACTCCCGATCTCACAGAGCTGCTTTATTTAGCAAGCGGTGGGTGGGGTGGGTTGAGCCATCACCAAGTGGGCCGCTTAGGATAGATCTGAAAATTCACCATTAATTAATTTTTTGTGAAGAGGATCCAGTGCTTCTAAAGACATACCCCTGGGTCAGAGATATCACTGTTGCCCTGAACTGCTCAGAAGACGAAAAGCAGAAGTTTATATTGGCACAATCTCCTTCAGTCCACAAAAAAGGAAAAATGTCCTTTCTGTGTGTGCAAAGAACCACAAGGATCATCAATTTCATTGTGTTTTCCTAGGAAATTGAGAGAGTGAGAACAGATTGGCCTTTACTCACATATTATTTCCCAGTTTATTTTGCTGCTAAACATATTATCATTTCCAGACCAATTAACCTTTGACCTCCAGAATCCTGCCTTTACAAGGCACAAGCAAGGCCAAAGATTATTTTGTTCAAAGAAACACTGGGATGGTTGCTACTCCACCAACTCATCTGCTCCAAAATGTGATGTTTTATTTCCCTACTTAGATCTATTTTTAGAGTTTTCCTTCCTAAAATCAAAACTCATCAGATTTTTTTTTGAGAGGCAAGATTAATTATTTGTGAATTGCTGCCTTCTTTGATAATAAATTTGAACACAGATTTTTAGCCTAAGGGCTTAAAAATAGTATTTCTCAGAAATGTCTCTGTGTTAATAACCAACCCAAAAGATATTTTGGAGTTTAAAAAGAATTAAAAGTGCTTGATTCGTATTAAACTTAAGGCCTTAGTTTTTCTTTCCTAATTGCTTTGATGTTAGTCTAGATCAAGTAGCAATTTCAGCACTTCGGAGTAGGGAGGGAGAGTGTGACTGGTGGAATTGTGTCCTATCCCAAGTTCATGTGTTAAAGTCCTAAGCCCCAGTACCTTAGATGAGACTCTATTTGGAGTCTTTGGGGCTTTAAGGGTCTTTGAAGGAAATTAAGTTAAAATGGGTCATACGGGTGGGCTGTGATCCAACAGGACTGGGGTTCTTACCAGAAGAGAACAGGACAGTCATAGACAGAGGAAGGAGCGTGTGAGGACACGGGGAGGCGCTGGCCATCCCCAAGCCAAGAAGAGATGCCTCAGGAGAAACCAGCCTGCACCTTGGTAAACACTGTGATCCCAGACTTCCAGCCCCCAGGACGGTGAGGAAATACATTTCTTGGTCTCAGCCACCCAGTCAGCGGTACTTTGTTATGGCCACCCCAGGACAGGAACAGGGAGAGGCTGCTTAGAAAACACGGGAGACCCTTCTTTCTCTCCCAGGAAGAGTATGACAGGTGGCTCCTCACTCACTTTACAGAGCTGATCGGAGGCTGCAGTGTGATAACGTGCGTGAATCTGATTAGAAACCGTGAATCACTGCCCAGCTGTGCAACGTTGGGCAAGTCTTTGCTCGTCAATCTCCTGTCCCAGGGCAGGCGAGGGGCTGGGGGGGGTGTCCCTCAACCCTCTGACAGTGGCTCCGCATGGCTGTTCAGTGCACCCCCCACCAGCTGGGCCCCCAACCCCAATTCCCACCAGAATCTGATGGGAAGTTTGTTGAAAATAAGGATTCCTGTGCACCACTGTCAGGGATTTGGGATAAGTAGATGTGCAGGTGGGCCTGGGAATCACACCAATTAGAATGGCTATCATTAAAAAGTCTATGAACAATAACTGCTGGTGTAAGGTGATACCTCATTGTCGTTTTGATTTGCATCTCTCTGATAATTAGCGATACTGAGAATTTTTTCATGTCTGTTAGGTCTTCTGCCCACTTTTTGATTGGATTGTTTATTTTTTTGTTATTGAGTTGTTTTAGCTGTTTGTCTATTCTAGAAGTTATGTCAGTCACATAGTTTGCAAATATTTTCTCCCGGCCAGTAGATTGTCTTTTAGTTTAGATAATATCTGTTTGTTTTCTCCTTCAAGTGCTTTGTGTGTCAAAATTAAAGCAAAATGTAATATGGACTATAAAGAAGAGGGTTTTGGATAATTACCAGTGAACGTAATAACTGAATGAAGATTTTTTTAATGTTAAAATAAACTCTGCGTAAAAACACACCATCCAGCACAGTCATTTGTAGACCTTGTAGTTTGTACATACAATTAAAATTGTCTTCAGGGCTGGACTACACATGGGAATTACAGTCCAGCATCATTTCAATTCGTATCTTCTTTTTTTGGCCTGTGTTCTCTCCCAATGCTTGGGTCTTTGCTGTTCTGTGTTTCTGAATTCTGACCACACCTTAGACACTGAATTTTATTTTATTTTTTTAATTTGACTTATAGTGGTTATTCTCCATGCAAACACAGTTCTGCTGAATGGAGTAAAAAGTTTTACTGAGTTGGGCAACTCCCTCATTGCCCAGGGTCATTGCTCAGGCATTTAATCACGTCCTGTGCTAACTCCCTGACCTCTTGGTAATTAAAATCCCTCTGCTTAGATATGGGTTGATAGGCTCTAATCTTTACTCACGTATATCAAGAATATTCATGATCCTGAGACCAAGGTTAGACCTCTGAAGTCTATCACACAACTCTCACATTCTGAAATAAACTGTTACCCCATCTTGAAATCTCAAAATTTACGGCTCCAATCTCTAAATTGTGTTCTTCTTCTATATCTGCCACTTCCCTGTCCTCTACAAATATTTGCTTTAGGGGGGAAAAAATGTGATTGATTCATCCAAGGAGAACAAGTGAGTTGCTATCTCCTTTGTGCATCCATACAGGGGTTATTTTTTATTTTTAAAATGATTTATTTATTTACTGAAGTATAGTTAATTTACAATGTTGTGTTCATTTCTGGCACACAGTGCAATGATTCCAATATACACATACATATCCATATGTAGTTTCCTTTTCGGATTCTTTTGCATTATACATTATTACAAGATATTAAATAGAGTTCCCTCTGCTACACAGTAGTCCTTGTTGTTTATCTCTTTTACATATAGTAGTGTGTATCTGTTCATCCCAAACTCCTAATTTACCCCTCCCTCTCTGGTTTATTTTCTGTCTGTGAGTCTATTCCCATAGTATTTTGTACTTAACGATTTCTATGTCTTTTACAGCACTTAGATGTGTGGACGCAAAGTGATGGCTACACAGTGTGAGATTTCCCCATCAGACTGTGAGGTCTTCAAGGGGACCTCGAGAGTGAAGTCTGCATCCTTCTGCTGTCAGTCTGGGAGCACAAATGAGTGATGATTATCCCTTACGGTGATTCCTCCGGGGGCCTTCATACGGATCACTGAGGAGAACTATAACATTTCAAGATCTCTCCAACAGAGGATGACTAGCAAGAATTCCAGTGTGGAGATCTGTGAAGAATTTGACATGGGGGGAAAAGCAAACTGTCATCTTGATAAATATGGGCTACAGAAGGCACTCATTCCAATCTAAATCATTAAGGAAATAACCACAAGAAATACAAAATACACGCCAGCTCGCTCCACCCGATTTTCCACGCCTTTATAGCTCACAGGGAACCACGCATGAACCTTTGCCTGGGTCATCCCAGGGCCATCTTTTCCTTTACTGTCCAAATAAAGTGACATGGCCAATAAGAACTTCTTAGACTCCTACAGGAACCAACGTACTAGTTAAGCAAATGTCTCTGGGAAGCTCTCTGAGCTAACTTTTCCTTTCCCGGGTTGCCCTGCTGTTTGGTTCGAGGCTGGATGCAGACAGAATTTTCTGGAGTGCCCAGCCTGGCATCAGATGAGCAGGCAAGCTTAACGGGGGGCTGCCGGAAAAAATCACCACAAACTGAGTGGCTTAAAAATGACAGAACTTTATTCTCACAGTGCAGGGGGCCAGGATTCTGAAATCAAGGTGTCTCAGGATTGGTTCCAGCTTGGAGTTCTGAGAGAGAAGCCGACCCACGCCTCTCTGTGAGCTGCTGGTGGGTGTCAGCAATCCGAGGGATCCTCAGCTCCTAGACATATTACCCCGTCTGATCTCTGCCACCATCACCAGGTGGTCTACATCTCTGTTTTCTCATCTTATTATCAGGACATGCATCATTGGATTTAGGACCCACTCTAAATCCAGGGTGATCTCATTTCAAGATCTGCAAGATCTTATTTCTAAATAAGGTCACATTCCCACTTACCAACAGAAAGGACTTGGGTATATCTTTTGGGGGGACGCTATTTAACCACTATAAGTACTACTGCTGATAATACTGTACAGTTCAGTGCTTGCCTGTCTACCGTGGACCTGGGGTCTTTCGCGATCATGTGCAGTCTAAGTCTTGACCATGAGGCCTTAGACAAGTCATTCAACTCACCTGGCTTCAGTTTCTCTTTTTCAGCAGAAAAAGAGATGATTGGCCTAGATTCTCACATTTTGGTTCACATTAGAATTTAAAAATCTCATTGCCTGGGCCACATCTCGTATCAATTAAATCAGAATCCCTTGGGGGTGGGGCTTAGTCATTAATATTGAAAAAAAAAGTACAGGGAATAAAGCCAATATTCTATAATAGCTAAAAACAGTATAAGCTATAAAAATTTTGTTACTATGTTGTACACCTGAAACCAATACTGTAAATCAACTCTAGCTCACTGAACAAACTCTTCAGGGGATTCCAATGCACAGTGAGTTGGAGACTAGTGCTTCTCAGCTTTACATGTGCATGTGGATCACCAGGCTGAGGGTGGGGTGGAATCTCAGGGTGTGGGAGGAGGATTTTGTGAAAATGCAGATTTCCATTCAGCAAGCTTGGGGAGGGCCTAATACTCTGCATTTCTAACGAGTTTCCAGGCCACACTGCGTGACCTCGCAACACCTTCCCAAGCTCTTACATCATCAGATTCACTTCCTGCTGTGGAAGGTTTCTAGTCTGTGATGGAGTGAGGGAGAAGCAACATCTGTAACAGGAAATAGCTTTTTCTGCGAGAAGGTTCAGTTTGGAGGTGAATCCGTCTGCTGCTGATAAACGGACTCGGACTCACATGACACTGTTTAGAAACAGTTTAGCTCAACGGAAGTGAGCATCCAGCCCTGTGTGTGCCCTGCCCCGGGTCCCGGAAGGCCTCTGCTTAGTATAACAAGCATTCATACGGCCTCCTGGAGACCTCTGGATGGACAGCGCCCTTGCAGCAAACCAACATGCCAAAACAGCAGCGGCCAGGATGTAAAGTCTCCAGGACGGGTCCTGGATTCTCAGCAGTGATTTTCACCAATGGCAGGGTTTTAGGGTCACCTGGGGATGTCCAGTGACGTCAACGCCCAGGCCCTCGAAAGGCCCATTAAAACAGTTTTTCTGGGGTGAGGCTTGAGCAACGGTCTGCCTTAACTCTGCTCCGATGATTTCAGTGTGCCCCGGGGATGCTTCACAGGTTCTCTGGATCTCCCAGTTATAGGAGGCATATCGGGTCCGTGTTCATAGTCCTGACCACGCGTGAGGCGCTGTGTTCAGCGCAGGGGATTTGACAGAACAGGAGGGCTTCTATTCAGGTGGAGGGCAAGTTATCATGGAACTTGATGGAAAACAAGTCATTGTGGATTTATAAATTTCCATGGTGATCACGCGCTATAAAGGTGAAGGACAAGATCCTGTAAGAGTTTTGGGGACCCGATATTATGGGGACCAACCCGACTGAAGAGGGCATCCTTGAAGAAGAGACATTGGAACAGCATTCTGAAAGTCAGGATTTTCTAGGAAAAGAAGTTGGGGGAGAATGTTCCAGGTGGAGGGAACGCCCGTGCCAAAGCCTGAAAAAGGGAGGAGCTTGTGGACTGGAGGAGCAGAAAGAGGCGGGGCGGGTACCAAGAGGGAGGAGGGGCGGGGCCTCTTGGGGGATGCGGTGTCCGCTGGCTTGTAAATGCTTCAGTATCTTTCCACGTGTTTATATTCTCTCTTTCCCAGGTAAAGTCCTCCAGGCAGAGTGCGTGTGCCTTCTTATTGCTTCTTTTCTTTTCTTTTTTTTCTAATGGAACGCTTCACGAATGTGCATGGCATCCTTAAACAGGGACCATGCTAATCTTCTCTGTATCCATCCAATTTTAGTATATATGCTGCCCAAGGGAGCACCTCTAATTGTTTTTAACTTTTGTTCTTTCCCCATCATCTCCCACCCCTTTACACGATCACTGAACTTTACAAGGAGCCCCGCCTACATATTCTTCACCTAATTTTTATAAGGCAGAAAATTAAGTCATTGTTTATAGAAGAGGTAGCTTACATTTAGAGAAGTTATGCCACTCATCCAAGGTTACGGAATGAGTGGAGACTCCTCCACTTTCTTTTCTTCTTGTTTTTTACTTTTCTTTCTTTTTTACAAAATGAAATACGAGTATATATACTATTTCACAATCTGCCTTCTTCATGTGCCACGATCACTCATTATATTATCCACATTCTTAAATATTCTTCAAGAATGTGATTTGTTTTTAAATGGCTGCTTAGTATTCTGTTGTTTGGTTATGTCCTAATCCAATCAGGCAATCCTATATTACTAGTTGTTTTCTCTGATTTTTCTAAATGATCATTGTTCTCAGCAATGAAAATCCTTATACATAAATCTTTTTTATTTAATTTGCTGTTCACCTTTTCAAAAATGAAAGTACAGTCAGTTTACAATGTTGTGTCAGTTTCTGGTGTACAGCATGTATGAATTTTTGAGGACATTTTTGATCATTTCTTACGGAAAAAAATTTATAGACAGAATTACTGGGTCAAAGGTTATGTATGATTTTAAAGTTTCTTACACATATTGCTAAATTGTCTTCCAGACTGATGGAGCAGATTTAACTTCTCATCAGCAGTGTATGTGGTTGCCTGGGGAAAACACTTCAATCAAGCAAGGCCAATTGATCTGTAGCACTTTGACTGCCGAGATTATTTCACTCAAAGTAAATGAAACATCTTGTTTCATGATGGGCGATGGAGCGCTTCAAAGCCTGGACCCAACCCTTGCTCTTGGGTAACGCTCACCTCTTCCCCATATCCGCTGCAGCTCCTTTGGGTGGCTTTGCTCATGTTTTTCTGGGTCTATTCTCCCTGTTTTTGCTTCCCGCTTACAATCCTTCTTATCGTCTAGATCAAGCTTGGGTATCTCTTGAAATATTTGTAAGATGCATGAGCACAGGTTTACCATCGTCCCTCAATAATTAGATTTGTTACCTTAAATAATTTTTCAGTTTCAAGAATTCCATTTTTATTATCACTGAAATCAGGATTTTTAATGTTGGAAGGGACCTTGCTGGTCGTCAGGCCCATTCATTCCATCTGCAGCAACCAACTGGTGATAGGTGAATGTCTGGATGTCCATTACCTGACGAGTGATTGGTACCATTTTTGGTCCTTGAAGTGGTTACCCAGAGAACCAGTCTACTTTCCTCCAGGCTTCAAGAAATTGGGCAATATTTGAAACATACAAAAATGCAGAAAATAATGTGACACTCATTGTCTTACCGTGCGTATTTACCCAGTGTGAGTCTTCTGTTATATTTATTCTAGAAATTTCTTTAAAAAGAGAAATAGAGAGTTCTAAATATAGTCACTCCAACTGCTCATCTTCAAGATGGTCTTGACTATTCTAGGCCCTTTCATTTTCATATAAATTACAGAATAAAGTTGTTCTAAGGTGAAAATTTAATCATATGTCTGTGGACCCTTGAAAGTGTTTTGTGAACGGATCACTTGGCTTCTTTGCTCCATTTCATGTTGGAATGTTACTATTTTGGTGTCGATTTCTAATCGCTCTTTCTTGTTATGCTTGTTAAAATTGTTATTTTCATTTATCTGTTTACCTTTCAATTTTGTTTCTTTTTTTTTCAAACAGAAGTGTAAACGTTTTATTTGGTCAAATCTATTGGTCTTCTTTGTGCCTTTTGTTTTGGTGCTAAGCTTAGAAAAACTCCCTTTATCTTAAGATCATGTAAATCCATTTTATAGGGTCAATCTATTATTTTATAATAGATGATACAAATCTATTTTCTTTCTTCAGTCACTTTCACATTTAAGTTTTTAGTATAGTTAGAATTTTGGATAAGTTATGGGGCAGAGTTCTAACTTCATTGTTTTATCATCATTTATTCATCTGTCTTGATGTTATTGGTCATCCATCACTTTCTCAGATGCTACTTGTATCTTATATCAACACTTACATGTACTTGAATTTGTTTTGGGTCTCACTAGTCTATGGCATTGATCTGTCCTTTTACAGTGTATCACATTCATATGCCAATTATTATAACTTTTTGACAATTTAAATTTCATTATATATTTTAATAACTTGTGATATGGCAATATGGTTTTAATTTTTCATAATTATTATTGTGTATCTTAGGTAGTTTTTATTCTGAAAGCCAGTACATAAATATTTTATATTGAAAAAATAAAAGCAATACATGCTTGTGACCAATAGTTTCATATATGTAAGTATACAAATTGAAAAGTAGCAGCTAGGGTATAGCTTAGTGGTAGAGCGTCTGCTTAGCATGCACAAGGTCCTGGGTTCAATCCCCAGTCCCTCCTCCAAAAATAAAGAAATAAATAAACCTAATTACCTCCCTCCCCACCTAGAAAAAAACAAAAAAGAAGAGTAAAAGCCCACTTTCTCTCTCTTTTCAGCTTTCCAGTTCTACTCCCAACAGGCGAAAACTATTAATAGTTTCTTCTCATGATTTATTTTTTTTTTGGCCTGGGGGAGGTAGTTAGGTTTTCTTATTTATTTATTTATTTTTTTGATGGAGGGACTGGGGATTGAACCCAGGACCTCATGCCTGCTAGGCATGTGCTCTACCACTGAGCTACACCCTCCCCCCAATAGTTTTTTCTGTGTCTTTAGAAAACACGTATTAAAAATTACATGTGTGTATGCATATTTACACAAGTGGAATCATGTTATGCAGAATTCTTTATGATTAGCTTTTTCATTTAAAAATACTCAGATGTATTTTTACATCTGAGTATCCATATCCATACACAAAGTTCTAAATCACTTATTTTACCTGCTTGATGAGCATCCATTGAGCAGATATAATATAATTAGTTTGGCTAGCCCTTGATTGAAGGCTACTTAAATTACTTTCAGTTTTTTGTTAGCCCAAATAATTGTTCACTTTTTTCCTGCTGAACTTTGGATCATTTTCTCCCCCTATTTTAAAAATTGGAACTCCTTTAAATTTATGAAATAATTTATAGAAGGATTACCATCTGTATTATTTTCGAATCTGTCCATCCAAGAATAAACCACATCCTTCCCTCTTTGTGAGTATTTTTTTATGTTCCTCAGTAAAATTTTGTAAGTCTTTTCAAATAGAGCTTTCACAATTTTAGTACATTTATTCCTTGGAGTTTTATTTTATCTTTTATTAGATTTTAGAATGGTATTACTTCCTGTTATATTTTCTAACCAGTTATGCCTGGCAAAGAAATAAACCACTGCATTTCAGTATATTTATTTTATGACTAGCCACATTACTCAATTCTATTTGAAATTATGAGAATTTTAACTATTTCTCTTGTGTTTACAATCATACTGTCTATATAAACTATTCTTTCTTTTTTCTGATTTTATTATGATGTGGAAAAGTACAAGTTATAACAACTACTCATGGACCATCTACACAGAAATGACAATGATTTTGTTACTTATTTATTTTCCTTTTCTTATTACAAAGGTTGAAACTCTAGAACAATATGAAATAATAGTGGTTAAAGGGGCATATTTGTTTTGACTTTATTTTTGTCCCCCGGTTGGGGACACGAAAGACATTGAATTGTTCCCTAAAGCTGCATTTTCTTGAAAAAAAAGAAAAGTTTTTAGTCTGGAATAACTGTAGATTTACCAAAAAGCTGGAAAGATATGTACAGAGAGTTCCTGTAGACCCCACACTCAATTTCCTCTGTTGTTAACATCTTTCATAACCACCAAAACCAAGAAACCCACATTGGTACATGACTATTAAGTAAATTCTAGACTTCATTTGAATTTCACTATTTTTCCCGCCAATATTCCCTTTCTATTTCAGCATCCAGCCCAGGATAGCATGTTGCGTTTAGTAGTCACGGTCTCATTAGTCTCCAATTTCTTAGTCTTCTCTTGTTTTGATGGCGTATCAGTCAAGTGCTGAGTCAGATGCTCCTCAATGGGGATTGGTCTGAAGCTTTCTCATGATTAGACTGTGATGATGAGTTTGGGGGAAGAAGACTATAGAGAGGGCATTTCTTTCTCATCACATCATGTCAGGGGTGGGATCCACGCTGCCAACCTGACACCACTGGCAATGAGAAACGTGGCCCCCTGGCCAAGGTTGTGTTGGCTGGATTTCTATCTTGTAAATTACTTTTATCTCCTTTCATAGTTTTTTTTCCTGGGAAGCAAGCCACTAAGTCCAGCCCATCCTGAAGGGGGGTGGGGTTTGATTCCAATTAAATGTGTTTTTCTGTTATGCCATCAATCTAGGCGTGATACAGATATTCTTTATCATGTTAAAGAATTATCCACAAGACATGTATTTTTACATGAGTCGTCAGCTACCTAAATTATAATTTAGGAAAGAAAATGAAAATGTTGAGTGTAGGGGAAGGAAAGATTTCTTCAAAGAAATTAAAACAATATTAAGTAGAAAGAAACCCCACCACCTGCATTAATTCAGAGGTAGCTCATCGGATGTGTAGATACTGAAAGTAGTTAAACTTTAATCCGCACCAGGATAACAAGTGCCTTTCTCGTGAAAGCTTAGGTTCCTTCAGTGCAGAATCTATGACCTATTATTTCTTTGTTTCTACAGGGTCTAAACGACCATACATTGTGGGAGTTCAAGAAGAGTTTGTGGAATAGAATTGAATAAGCCAGTAAGTTTATTATCCATCTCCCGAGGAATTTCTTGATTTTCATGCCATATGAATTGTATTCCAGCCAGAGACCTATTTCCTGCTAATTCTAAATATTATCTCAAAAGAAAGACAGAGCCAAGGGATCTGAAAAAACATTTATCCGAAGGAGATACACAGATGGCCAGTAAATCCATGAAAAGACGCTCAACATCATTAACCATCGGGGAAATTCACATCAAATCCAC